AATTATGTGCACATTGCGATGATTATCTGCTTGCTTAATGTATAAAAGTGATTGTAAGCCTTTGTTTTCATTTCACAACTATAACTAATACTATTATCAATATGTTGTAAAGCACTTTAGAGTAATTTTACAAATTATATAGGGCGCTATATAAAGGTTTTATATTATTATTATTATTATTATTATCTGACTTTTAGATATATTAGACCACAATAGAAACAAATATAACTGAATACTTACAGTAATTTATGTATATAACAAGTAATTGTACCTTGCTACGTATACCTGACATAAAAAAACTTTGAATTTTGTCTGCCAGTACTTCGATAAAGTTCAGAAGCATATGCAGAGCAATAATAGGTTTTTGAAATAAATGAATGCACATTTTTTTTCTTTTTTTTTTTTTTACAGTTTTGATTGATATTTCGGCCAACACAATAGGATGTATTACCACCCATTGACTAACACCTCACATATTTATTTAGACGGGGATCATTACATGTGTGAGTAGAACCGTTGCAATTCTTGGTAATTGGACTTGCATTGTAGTATCTCAGATACGTGCTAGCTGCTAACTGTTATTTACTGTGCAAAAGGATATAACATTATATACCATTTTGCAGTCTTAACCGTCTTCGAAACTTACAGGCAGAGCTAAAATGCACGGAATTTTGTAAAAATTAATAAGATATATAAAGAATATGATGTCCTTCTTTCTTGAACGTACTCAATTGTATGCAATTTCCTAAAAAAGACATGTGTATCAATCTTGTTTTATACAGGAAATAATGCAAACTAGAGCTATTCAGCAAAAAAAAAACGGTCAAACACTCTGGACCCCTCAGTATGCACGTGCCATATATATATGAGCGGGCTGTTTTCTTTTCAGATTTAGTTTGTTGAAACGGTTTAACATGATAAGCCAATGGGCCTCTAATCTTGTTTTTCCACAATTACTAACAAATATTTGAGACCATATATATAATGTAATAATTAAAGCACTAATAATGGGTCTCACTTAAAAGCGTCTTCAACCAACAACAAGCGTCTTCAAGTGACAACAAGCGTCGCCAGACAAAATCTTCAAAAATACTGAATGAAGTAAGCGACATCAGGAGATATATTGTTTATATGACAATAATACACCTCTGTACCAAATTTCAATTTGATATTTGAAAAAATTGACCGAGTTATGATGAATTGAATTTTTACGATCGCGGCGTGGCACATTAATTAATAATAAGATAAGTTTTAGAAAGAAAAAGAAAAAATACAAAATTGTTCAAGTATTATTAATAACCTGTTTAAATGCATTATAAAGGTAAATATTATCAATGAAGCAATGCCAATGAGCTTCAGCGCCAACTAAAAATATTCCGGAAGATCTGACCGCTTCCGTACGTTATATTAGGTTATACCAACACATCAGTCTCTATCACAAAGACGCTTGTAGCAGTCAAAACCTATATCATGGATGAAAAAGACCGCACGATTTGGGTTGGGAAATTGCATGACCGAGTTACCGAGCCTCTTTTATACGAGTTATTTTTACAGGTTTGCAATTTCCTTGTGTTTAAATGCAATATGAAATAGCTGTAATGTGTACCACTCTCATGTAACCTGCCTAACATTGTTAAATTCTTCGTGGACACACCGTGCTTTCACTTTGTGTTGACTGTGTTTTAAGCTAAGGGAATCAATTACAGTGTAAACGTATTCTGTCTGAACTTATCCTGACGTGTGTTAGTGTAATACGACGTCTAGGGATGTAGTGAAAATCCAACTGTACGCCTCACTTAATTTGTACATTTGTTCCAAACTACTAATCTCTCCTTTTCATCATGGTCCAGTACGTATACACTCTGCCGATTGAGGTATATAGCTATAAAGACCTACANTACCCAATACTACCCAATACCACCCAATACTACCCAATACTACCCTACACGACCCAATTATGAACCAAATACTTCTTTATTACTGTGAAATATCACCTTTGTAGACGTTATTTACTTCCATCTGCCATATTTTATCGGGAAATATGCGATTTGGTGCCGAAAACATCACCGAATTGCCGTGACTATGACCCAATACTACCCCATACGACCAAGTTATGAACAAAATACTTCTTTATTACTGTGAAATGTCACAGTTATTTACTTCTATATGTCACATTCTATCTGGAGATATGCGATTTGGTGCAGAAAACATCACCAAAATGCCGTGACTAGGGGTTCGACGATTTACAGGAACGGGCAGAAATCTATTAATTTTTATATAGGCCTATACATTAATGAATATATTAGATCAGAGACGTATATAACACAGTTATGGCTTTATACGTCTCTGATTAGATACATTAAAGTATCATTATCGGGTATAAGATATATTTGATAAAATGATTGCAATTACATGATCGCCGTTCGGGGCAGAATCGGACTAAATTATATATATATTTATATTCATATTATTATATATCTTTTTTATCGGGTACAAGATACGTCATTTGATAAAAGGATTGCAAAGAATTAAAAAAAAAAGGATTGTTTTGATATGGATCGGGCAAGAACGGTCGACGATTTACAGGAACGGACAGAAACGGGGCAGGATCGGACTTATTTATATATATTTATTGTATATATTTAATTATCCTTATCTGGTATAAGGTATATTTGATAAAAGAATTGCAATTACAGGAACGGGGCAGGATCGGACTAAATATATATATATATATATATATA